TTGGCTTCTTTTTCTTCTCACGTTGCTAACATACTGCCTTGCAGGGAAGGATAACCCTGGTTCACTGGTTTGTTGATCTCTTGATTCTCTTGTGCAGAAAGGTATAGACGGAGGACACTTGAATTGCTAGTCAGGATAATTTATTTACATTTTGAAGTTATTATCCTTCTTTAAGGACGCAAATCAGTGTTAAAAAAATACAAGGCATTGCTCTGTTTTAAGAGAGAGAAGAAGACAAATAACGAATGTGTCTTGCCTTTAAGTATTTGTTTACCAAGTGAGCCCATAACCTTACTCAATACTGGATAGTCTGGTCCCTCAGAATGCAGATCATGACCCTCCATACCTACTCTGTTGTTTCACTTTTGTCCATCTTCTACCAAATGGGATTTACCTGGTGTGCTAAAGGCCTTCCTTGCTTTCCTTCACCATCCACACTCTGGAGGGCCATCTGTACAAATGATCATGTGATCATTTCCTGTCTAGGTTCCATCATGATGCCTATTTCTCTGTTGCTCTCTGTGTGATGTTCATTTTCAGTTTTTCAGAAACATTTTTATGCCATATAGCAAAACCAGTAAGGTCTTAGTATCGAAAAAATAGGCAGGTATTTGCTTTCATGGGATATGTAGGTCCAGTAAGAACTTTGCAATTTCCTGAAAGCCATCTGACTTCCTTCCTGGTCAACTTAGGGCCCAGCTCAGTGTGCATCTCTACTGTGGGTCCTGACTTGTAGGACAAGCCCTGGAGGGCATCCATCCCAATGAGTGTTGGAATCTGTGCATTAAACATTCTTCACCAGCTTGATCCTTCCCATGTCAATAAGCTAAAATCTTTTCCTTCCCATCAAGCTTCTAGAAGGTTCTGCGATGGTCTGGGCCTTAATGTAAGCAGTCTAATGTCATATGAAACAAGATTCATAGGGTTAGGGATAGTTAGGCTTGCCAGGTATATACCTTAGTTACAAGGTACCTCAGACTATCTAATCCAGTCTTCATTCAGTGTAAGGAATCCCTTCTATTATGTTTTTGATAGCTATTTTTTTTTTTGTATCCCCAGAGCCCAGCACATAGTAGGCAATTAATAAATGTTAGTTGCCTGACTTAGGAGCTCACTGTTTTTTAAAGTAGTCGCTGTAATAGTTGGTCAGTTTAAAATATTCTTGCTTATGTAATAGGGAGCTAAATTTTGCTTCCCTCTCCATTCTTCCTAATTCTGCCCTGTTCAGCTGTTGCACGGAGAGTATTTTCTCTTACATATCATGGGCTTCCTTAAATCTTCTCTTTAACAAGATAGATATCTCCATTTCCTTCAACTGTTCCTTATATGAGATGGTTTTGATGCTCGTCACCATCTTGTTACCGAACCACTTGAAGTGTGCCTGAGTATTAACATATGACCAGTACAGAATAACGTGTTGTGCTTTTGATCTTATTCTGAATACTATGCTTATCTTCCTGCATTCTGATTGTATTAGTTTTTTTAAGTTAAAAAAAACCCAACAACTTATATATCTGAAAAATTTCATTTTGAATGAAAGGTTTTTTGTTGTTTTGTTATATACATGACTTCCCAGTTATCCTTTTCTGAGTTTCTCCTAAAAAGCTAAGCAAAATTGCCCAATATGTGATTGCTACATATAATTTCAGTTTTTGTACCTTATTTTGATAACTAAGTATATGTGCTTTATTTAATAATTTAGGACCAACACTGTCAATCTCTGAGTCTTTGTTTTCGTTCTTGTGAAGTTGTGTTTATTGATCTTTGGGTTCTGTTTTCTTTTCTCTGTATCACTTTGTATGTCTTCCCATGTCTCACAGAATTCTTCATATCTGTCATTCCCTACAGTGTAGTAATTTTCCATTATGATCATGTGTTAAATGTTGTAAATACATTTTATATATATGTTTAGCTTTTCCTCAATCTTTGGATATATAATATTTCCCTAAATTTTACGGTTACAAATAGTGCTACTATGAATTTAGGGTTAGGTTTTTTTTTTTTCCCACGCACTTTCAAATCAGGTCTCTGGTCTGTTTTTATGTAATTGTATTTAAGACTTTATATTGATCCCTTTTAAGTTTTTTCTTCTTGTTTTTGGCCCATCTAAAACTTTCTGTCAATGATTAATAAATTCTCCTCTGATTATACTCTCCACATCCTAGTAATTCTGATCGATATAGATTGTCATTCAGAACCCATATCCTATTTCCTATTTCCCTGTCCTTCAAACCCTCCCCACTCCAAAGCTATCCACCCCTTCCACTGTGCCCTATGGAATGCCTGTTCCATAGATATAAGCCTTCCAAACTAAATCTTTTCTATTCTCATTTCTGGCTTTTACTGAGAGCTGACTTCCTCCTGATGACACAGCCTCGGGCACTGGCTACATTTTGATTCATTCTCCCCCCACCTCAACTCAAGGTGGAGGAGTTGGAATGCTCTTTGTTCCTGTTACCACTTAGGATCTTCCCCTACCTCTGTCACTTAGAACCTTTTTGTCTTTTGACATTCTTGCAATTCACCCAGTCAAAATCCTGGTAAGCCATTGTCTGTTGACACTCACCTTCCTTCCTTAATGAGTTAAGTACCTGGATCACAATGTTCCTCCTCAACCCCTGCTTTCATAGTAGGGGGCTTCAGCAGAGACAGACAGATATTTTCTCAAACACAACACTAATCTCCTAGTTCCTTTACTCATTTTCCGGGACCTACTCCTTTGCTGTACCTCAGCCACACACACAGACATGGTCAAACTCCATTCCATCACCCCCTGGTGTATCACTTCCATGTTCATGGACCCTGAAATTCCCTCATCTGATCACTGTCTGTTATCATTCCAGCTATCCTTATGCTTTCCAATACTGGAAACCCTGCTTTGTGTCCTTCCTGTGACCTCCGGTCCCTCCACCCCTCGGTTCTCTCCTTAGTATTCCCGTGGCGCCCCCCCCCCCCTCATAGCTGCAACTGTCCACCTTTCTTCATGTCAACCCCTTGGTGAATCAGTTCGATTTTATATTGCCCTCTTGAATCCTCTGCCCGCTTTTCATATAGCAGATTAAACCCTGCTATCCCTCAACTTTGAATCATTCCTGCCATTAACTGCCTTTGCTCCTACACCTTGTTGATATTTGTCCTTCATTCTCGAAGAGGACCATGACATCAGGGAAGTGATGCTGTGACATGTAAGTGAATTGGATTTAAGTGAGGGAGGGTTGTGCAGAGTCACCAGCCTCATTTTCTTCTTTGGAGCCATCTGGGTCCAGTGGCCAGCTATAGATCAATACAAGTGGAGATCGCCCAGGGTGCATTGGGGGACCTTGGCCTGTTCAAGCTGACGTCTTCATCTGGTCTCAATTCCACTCAGGCAAAGCCCATTCAGTGATTAAGGCTTAATATCAAATGTGCCAGAGAATGGCCTTTTCCAAAAACAAACAAACAAAAACCCTCAGGGTTTTTCAGAGCTAAAATCAAAACAATTGTTATTTACTTTCATTCTGAGCCAATCTGGGCTCGAACTGAGACCAAGTAGCGTTTTGGCCTGGGACCTATTGTTGGCCAGTCTCTGAGAGGGGAGTGGTTTGCGGTTTAAAAAAAAAAAGGTTTCAGAGATTAAGGTTTACATTCCCTGGGGGCTGAGGGCTCATCTTGAGGGAAGGGAAAGAAGGAGAAAAAACAAAGACTGAAAAAAAAGAAAGAGAAAAGAGAGAAAGCAAGCCAGGGAAAGCAAGCCGAGTTGCCAATTGGCCAGGTCCAGTTTGGACTCCTCCCCTGTGCTGCTGAACATGGGTGGAGGAAATTACACAAACCATTCTGACTGGATCACCTATAAATTTCTGTTATATAACCTCAGCTGGGCCCTCACTTCTGCCAGGCAATCCTTTTACTCTTCCCTGAATGACTCACTATCCCACTCTCCATAGCAGGTCTTCCAAACTTTTTCATCTCTCCTCAGACCTTCCATGACTCTCCCTCCCTTCATGCTCTCAGCTGAGAACCTTGCCTGATATTTCACTGGAAAAATTAAGGCCATTCTCTGAGAGCTCCCTCTCTCCTCTACTTATTTCACATTACCCTGATGCCATCTGCTACCATCTCTTTCTTCACCCTGCCTCAGATGAAGAGGTGGTTCTTCTTGCCAAGGCTTATACATGTCTAGACATGTATAAGCCATCTTAGGCCATCCAGTCTTCTCCAGCACATTGCCTTCCCTGGCATCCTCACTCATCTTCAGTCCCTCCAAAAACCCCTCACTTGATCCATCCATCCCTCCCTTCCTCCCTTTGTTCCTGCTGGCTTTTGTCCTGTGCCTCCTGCTTTTTGTTGCTAAACTCCTTGAGAAGGCCATCTGCGATAGGTGCCTCACTTTCTCCGTCTCACTCTTAACTCTCATCATTCAACTGCAGTTATTCCCTCCAAAGTAATCAGTGATCTCTCAGTGGCTTATTCCCATGGCCATGGCCTTTTCTCCACCCTCATTCTTCTTGATTTCTGCAGCCTCTGACACTGCCAATCCCTCTCCTATCCTTGTTATTCCCTCGTGGTTCTCCTACCTAGTTGACCACGCTTTGCAGTCTCGTTTGCTGATTCTTCATCCAGGTCATGCCCTTTAACCATGGCTATTCCACAGGGCTCCGTCCTGGGCCCCCTTTTCTGTCCATACCAAATCATTTGGGGATCTCATCAGCTTTGATGGATTCAGTTACCATCTCTATTCTGGTTCTTCTCAGATTTGCTTATTTAGCCCCAGTCTCTCTGCTAACCTGCAGTCTCACGTCTCTTTCTGGATGTTTTAGAGGTATCTTAAACTGCACATGTCCAAAACTGAACTCATCTTTCCTCCTAAACCAGACTTCCCTGTTACTCTCAAGAGCAGCCCCATCTTCCTAGTGTCTAAGCTCTCAGCCTTGGTGTTAGCCTCTACTCCAGTCTATTGTCAAGTCCTGTTGTTTTTACCTTTGTGACATCTCTCTGATCCACCTTCCCCCTTCTGTGCTCTGATGCTGCCACCCCCTATGCAGGCCCTTGCCACCTCATACCTGGACTGCTGCGTTAGCCGCCCTGTTGGTCAGCCTCCCTCAATTCTCTCTCTACTGTAGTGCATCCTCCACTTAGCTGCCAAAGTGATTTTCCTAACGGGCAGGTCCAGCTATGTCAGCCCCACGCTTGCCCCCCATTCAGTAAATTTCAGTGATTCCATATTACTTCCAGGATCAAAAATGAAATCTTGTTTGTTCAAGGCCCTTCATAACCTAGTTTCCACCGTGGCCCACCTTTCTAGTCTTCTTATACTGAATACTCCTGTGTACTCTTTGATCCAGTGACACCTGCTCTGATGTTCCTTGGGCATTTTCACTGGCTATGGAATGATGTCTCTTTTCATCTCCTCCTCCTGTCTTCCTGGCTTTTCTTCAAGTTTCAGCTAAAATCCCAGCTTCTACAGGAAGCCTTTCCCCATCCTTCTTAATTCTAGTGCCTCCTGTTGAACATCTGTAATTCACATTTTTATGTAGTTTGCACGTGGTGGTCTGTCTCCCCCAGTAGACTGGCACTCCTCCTTGAAGGCAGGGCGGGCCTCTCTTTTCTCTTTCTTTGTATCCCCAGTACTTAGTGCATGGCACCTAGTAGCCCTTAAGGAATATTGACCTGGGCTTTTCAGCCTATTGACATCTTTCTGAATCCTTTTTCTGTCATTTAATGGATTAATTATCTTTGTCTTTCCAAAGTACAATTATTTGCATAACCTATAAATATGTTAAGTATGCATTCTATGTCTTCATGGATAAAATGGTATATTTAAAAAAATATTTTATTTCTTCCCCAATTACAGTTTAAAACATATGGTTTTTCAAAGTTTTTTTTTAAAGTTTTTGTTTTGTGTTGTTTTTTTAAAGTTTTGAGTTCCAAATTCTATCCCTCTCTTCCTCTCCTCCCTGAAACGGTAAGCAATCTGATATGGGTTATACATGTGCAATCATGTAAAACATTTCCATGTTAGTCATTTTTTGAAAGAAGAATCAAACAAAACAAAGGGAAGAAAGAAGAAAAGTAGAATGCTTCAGTCAGTATTGAGACAACATCATTTCTTTCTCTGGAGGTGGATAGCATTCTTTTCATCATGAGTCATTTGGGATTGTCTTGGATCATTTAATTGCTGAGAATACCTAAGTCATTCATAGTTCTTCATTGTATAATATAGCTTTTACTGTGTACAGTGTTCTCCTGGTTCTGCTCACTTCATTTTGTATCAGTTCATGTAAGTCCAGGTTTTTCTGAAATCATCTTTCTTGTCATTTCTTATAGCACAATAGTATTCCATTGCAATCATATACCATAAGTTGTTCAGCCATTCCCCAATTGATGGGCATCTCCTCAATTTCCAATTCTTAGCTATAAAATGGTATATTTTCAATTATAAAAGCATTGAATAGAATGTGGCCAATGGCAAAATCTATATTATGCTGCTAATGAGCTCCCTGGAATGGAGGTGGCTCAGTGTTAGAGAGCGCCAGGCCTGGAGTCAGGAAGATCTGAGTTCAAATCCAGCCTCAAGACACTTACTGGCCGTGTGACCCTGAGCAAGTCACTTAACGCTGTTTGCCTCAGTTTCTTCATCTGTAAAGTGAGCTGGAGAAGGAAATGGCAAACCACTTCAGTTGCTTTGCCAAGAAAACCCCAAGTGGGGCCATGAAGAGTCAGACAAGACTAAAATGACTGAAGAACGATGAGTTCACACAGTATGTTTTGTTTGAAAAGGAAAAGCATTTATAAATGTCTGATCATCATCAAATCACGTACCTTGAAATTACCCAAACTAGAAACCTGATTAGACTGTGTAATAGGAGAGCCCCTTCTACCACCAGCGTAAGAGGATTTGGAGGGGTGTGTTTGTAGGTTTTTGTTCACGTGCGTGCGTATTGTTTTATGTATGGATAAACTTTCCTGATTTAGTAACTGGTGGTAGGGAAGTTTTGAGGAAAAGCAAGTTTTGTGAGAAGATGATTTCAATTTTGGACATGTTGAGGTTAGATCAGATGTGAGTGGCATGTCCTGGCAGAACGCATTAGCATTGAGAAGCGCCTTAAAATCGTCTTGTCACACCCCCTCGTTTTACAGAAAAAGACATGGAAACCAAGAGACATGAATGGACTCTAAGGTCATACAGACAGCAGGGAGAGAATTTGAACTTGGGTTTGCTGACTTCCAAATTGGCATTTTTATCACTACCCTCTTGTGTTCAGCACACTGTTAGGAATGGGGAGGTGGGGAGGGATTTTAGTTGGAAAATTAGATTCGGGAACCTTCTGTGTAAAAGAAAAGCCCTGGAAAGTGGAATTGGAATGAACTTTGCCTGTAGCACTTTTCACCCTCATTTCCCCCACTTCAACCATATATCAGAGTGGTCATCCTAACTTAAACCTCACCAACTTGCTAACGGAACTTCAAAACTCTCCTTTCCAATCATAGATTCCTGTCATTTCACTTGTACAAGAGTATTCCTCATAATGTATCTTCTTTTTTTTTCCTGTCCTGGTTTCAGTGACTCTTTACCTGTTGACTTCCAGCAGTATCTGTCATCTAGAGTCATTTTACATTTATTCTATCGTCTCCTTTTACCCACTGCCACCATAGGACTGTGTTGGCCTCCTAACAGGTGTGCTAGCCTCCACCCTCCTTCTTTCAAGTCATTCTATAGTGCATAGCTCTGATTATAGCATTTGTCTGCTTAAAAATCTTCACTGTGCTCAGGCCTGTACCCTGCCCACTGAGCCATCTGACTCCCTGCATGAGTGACCGTGTTCCTGTGTTGCTTTGTTTCTGCTCTTCCTTATTTCTGGGATGTCTTCTCCTCTCATCCTCACTGGCAGAATTCTTCAAAGGTCTTTGAAGCTCAGCTCAGACACCACTCCTGAACTTCTTTTTGATTCCGAAAGCAATTCTAGGGTCAGGGATAATGATACATTAAAGTGGCAAGCTGTAGACACAAAGCTAGTGTAGAGACAAATGAGACCAAAGTAGATGAGAGAGTTTTGGAAAGTAGGAAGAGGGTCACTGGGCTAGAGAGGCCAGGATGGAAATGACGAGCAGTGTGTATGAGAGGACTTTGAAAGTGGAAGGAGATAGGGATGTGGGAAGTTTGGGAAATGGGAAGTTTGAAGTTTGGCCTTTTGGGATGGGGAAGTCTCGGAGACACCTAGGGTGCTATGTGGTTGAAGTGAGGTGGGAAAGGGGGTTGTGTTGATCAAGAAGGTAGAGTTGAGAAAATTTAAGATGGCGGGCCACTAGTTAATAAAAGAAATTTTTTACTAAGTTATTACTAGATGTAAAGCACTCTAAGGTGCTTGGAATACAAATTCATTAAAGAAACAACTTCCCTCCTCATGGACTTGATGTTCACCAAGAATGCTGAAGTCCTGTAGCTTGTGCCAGTGCTGGGGCAAAGAAGGAGGGCAGGCAGTGAGAACTGTGCTGAGTCACTGAGAAGGTTGGGAAGGTAGCCTGTCGACTTAGCCGGAAGCAGCAGAGATTGGGAAACAGTGATGTCTGTTGCCCTGAATCCGATTTAGCCTTTCCAGAAGTGCTGGACCCAGATGTGCCAAGGATGAAGCCCCATTTGTGCTTGCGCCCCAAGCTGGGTTCCCTCTGTGTGCTTGGGAGGCAGGATAGGCACCAGCCAGGCTGCTTCGGGTTGGGAAAACGCTTGTGCCGCTGGGGTCCCTTGCAAAAAGTGGACACTCCTATCTTCATAGCCGAGCAGTTCCCAAGGAAAGCGAATGCCATCCCCTTGCTCCTCCCTGTCGGGAGTGGTTTTGTCCTTTTTCCACCTTGACTACGCCTTTCCCCTTCCATTTCTTGCCCCTTCCTGGTATCCCGTCCTCACTTAGTCCTGCTGTCATAAATATGCAGAATTCTGTAAGGATTGTGAACGTGCTCCCAGGCTCTGGGATCCACGTGCGTGTTTATTCCTCTTGTAACGAACCTAGTTTCACGAAAGTTTCGTAAAGGCGTTGCTATACCGACATTGCATAGGTTTCAGAACCAGCTTATTGAAAAGGTGGAGGTGAAGGACTTTTGCGGGAGCAGCAGTGGGGAGGAGCCTGGCCCACTGGCCACGAGGATGATGGGGCTGAGCTAGGCCTCAGTCAGCTCCAGTTCTCTTGAGTTCTCGCTATGGATTCTTCATCATTCCTAGGATATTTTGCAGATGCCCAAGGCTTTCTTTTGGCCATGGCATTTCTCACCTTGAAGGGAGATTTTGTAAGTTGGCTGACACGCTTTGGGCTCTTAATACTTCCTGTTGAGGGGACAGTTTTTCATAGATTCAGTTTCTCCAAAAATGGTGCTGGTTAATGTCACTTTTGTCCACTTTTGATTTTTCAGGGAGTTGAAAGGGAAGGTTGCAGTTTGAGTAAGTAGTTCAGGTTGGAGCTTTTACAATTAAGTCTTTCTTTTCATTTTTATCCTTTATTCTAATTTGGTGTTTAGTTTAACTTTTGTTCTATACAAACAGTGATCTACATGCATGTTGCTTCTGAAATGGTTTCTTGTAGAATGATTAATCAACCGTGTGTGTGTGTGTGTGTGTGTGTGTGTGTGTGTGTGTGTGTGTGTG